CCAAGGAGACAGGCGCTTTGCAGTAACAGGTTGTCACCCCGAGAGCCCCTTCTAGCATCCTCTGGGCACCGGCAAGGAGAAGGGCGGAATGGGCAGAGGACCCGCCGCTTAAGTCTGTTGCAGTGTAGCCAGATGCGTGCGAGCTTTGCAGGACAGGGGAAATCGGCCAGGGCAGCACTTCGTCAATTGATTGAGCAGCAGAAGCAGCAGGAGGCCCCATCAGCATGCTGATTGGCACTCAATCCGTTGGGCAGATATTGCAGGCAGACAGCACGAACAAGGTGCGGCAGCGCCGTGAGGCACGCGGCTCGGAGGGCGCTGGCTGAGTTAGGCAGATGGACCTATCACGTCAGGGTCGCGGCTCTGTTCGACAGTGAGCGCAAGGAGGCCGAGAATGCTGTCAATTGTGGACTACCTTGCTTTGCGCGGAGCTATAAAATTGCGAGCTTGCTGATCTTGCTGCATTGCATGATTTTGAAGAGATTTCGCGTTTTTCCATGTCGTGGCCAGCTTAGTAATACTCTGATCGTCTATGAACAGACCTTATCAGAGGTTTGGCAGCCATGCAGGACTAAGTATAGGGTTAAGTTATATGGGGATGATCCAGGGACATAGGCATTAGGGGTGTTACAGGGAACAATGGACAAGAAAATGGAAACTGGTACGGTATATTGGGGGGTGTATACCTTTCCTTCCTTATGCTTGCTCGAAGAAGGGCTTCAGAACAGCACATCTCAGGAACAACTGATTGTGCGGTGAAGTCTGGAGTGGACCTGCTAAGCACCCTAAACCCTAAATTCTAAACACTATTTGGTAGTTTCCCTAGATAGGGGGACCCGCCAAAAAAGACCAAAAATATGATAATCCTTCTTAGTGGGACCCCCAAGAAGATACCCCTAATTTTGGGAAACACCTATTTCGCCTTGATCTGGAGCCCACAATCTCAACGTGTCAGAGCCATAATCTAAACTCTTGGTATCCCCCTAAATGACTGCTGTAGTAGTTCCCCTATACAACCCCCTTTTAAAAGAGAATTTAGACTATAGCTCATATGTATACCATATTCCAGGATATGTGAAGGAGTGAGTAATGGTTGTCAGGACGGCGGAGTGTCAATTTAGGGCGGCCCATTTTCTGAAATGTCTAACAGATTCAAGCCTATGCCTGAAATGTTGTTCGGCTATTCCGTGAGTTTGCCCTACACCTGCATGCCGGCGGCCGGGCCCAGACATCGCAAAAGCGATACATCTCAGCCTTCAGATGGCGCAACACGGCCGTTTTGCAATCTGCCGTAGGATTTCTCAATCAGCACGAGTGTTGGCCTCCCACTTGTAGCATCCATTCTTCGGATCTGCCCCAAATATTTTGTGCACATGGACTGCATGGCTTCGACTGCGCCAGTCATCGTTGAGAAGGTCTGATTAAGGGTCTGATTAAGGGTTTAGGGTTCCAACTTTCGCAGTTGCACTTTTCGTTCGAACTCCCCCATAGACACCCAGGTTTGCATGGAATTGTTTATTTTCTTTCCCGTTTGATTCTCCATTACCTTCAAAACCTGCTTAGGCTTTTACAGGTGCATGTTTTGGCCGCATGTTGAGCATTTGAAGGCATATGAAGGTTTTGGGTCAAGTTCATGACGTTCAGGGGTTCCTGTCCATATAGGTATATAGGGATAATGGAAAGGAAAGTAGAAGCTACTCTATATTATCTAGGGGTTATATACAGGTTCTAGGGTTTGGGGTGGAGGATTTGAAGCGCCACCACTGGAGTTCAGGCACAAGGACATGCTGAACTGGGGGCATAGGTCCATGCCATGCGTTCATAGACTTGGCCTTTCATGGTACATCTTCTTGTTGCAATCTAGAATCCATGTAGTTGCTGTGGAGCCTGTCAGCCTGCATCACATAGTCTGACCTCAAACCGCAAACCTCATGGGTTCCACTGCTACTGGGTTGCTGTTACGGAACTTAGATTAAGTCACTATAACATGGGTACGTAATAAATAATATGGTTTCCCTGAAATAGGAACCTAAATCCTACACCCTAAACCCTGCCCCACTACCCTCAGCCTTGTACTACACCCGCCAAGGCTGCCCCTCAAAGGGGAACCTAGGGTGGGTTGTATACGGAGTAGTGGGCCCGGAAAATTTCCTGCGTTTTTTTCTTACAAAATGTCCGGAAACAAACGCCTAAGCTCTGAACCTGAGCCCCGAAACCCTTGCTTGCAAGCGATCACGCCTCCAGGGCATTTCGGACCGTGAGCGCTACAGAGGCAGGATTAAGTCCTGGGGGCCGGGCACGCCCGCCACTCAGACCTTGACTTTGTAAGGCGCAGCTGTCTTCAAAGTGAGAAGTGCGGCCTAGGTTGTCCTCTGTGTGTGTTTCTGTGTAGCAGTGGCAAGGTTTGGCTTTATCGAATGCCCGGAGCTGACTTCCAGATTTAAGCGGGACGTCTACGTGTCGCAAGCCGTGTGGTTCTCGGCCCGACAAACGCGGACTGCAGACGGATTGAAGCCTCTTGCCTGTAAGGAGTACAAAGATTGGGCGATCGGCACACCAGTCAGCTTCAGTCTGGTTGTCACCGAGCAGCGTCACGGCCTTGCCCAGCATCGATTCGCAGCTGGCTTAGTAACATGTCGTGATGCAGGCAAGCCTCAAGCACGAGACGTCCGAGAGGAGCTCGACTCGGACAGCTCGGCCCCATCGTCCTTGCCTTGCGATTAGGTGAGTTTGCCAGCAAAATGCAGCAGCTTTTGATTTTGGAGTGAGGCCAGCGAGCACTGGCAGCTGCAGCCTAAGTTGCGGGCCGTTCTGCATATTTCCTGCCTCATTTGGTTGTCTGCAGGGGCTTCTGCAGATCTGCGGTGCCAGCCTGGCACACAAGACGCATCCGACGAGGCCCCAGACCGTTTCGAGTCCTGGCCTCGGCCGCAGAGAGACGGGCGTGCATGCCTTGGTATCCTGGGATAGGGCGGTTCGTGGTCGCCACCCTCGTAACTGTCTTTGTTTTTGATGCCTCTTCGCAACTGTCGTCACTTTTAGCCCCTGGTGCTTTCGTCGCGCCTCAAATGCAGGGATCGGGGTGGTCCTAATTGCGATCCTCGCAACTGTCATCGCTGTTGATACCTCATATTGTTGTCTCAGTTTTAAAGTAGTCACAGTCACAAGGATCAGCTTGGTCCTCATCTTGCATAAAGCTTCTAGAACCCTGTGTAAACCTTCTTGAAACAAAAAAAATCATGCAAACCACAAGACCCAGACCACAGGCCACAGGACCCCGGGGCAATCCTATGTGAGAGCCCAGAAGATGGGTCATGTTCCTAACCCCAGACCCCCAAACCAGATCATCATCATCATCATCACCATCATCATCATCATCATCACCGCGAGACCACACCACACAGCACAGAAGGGGGGAGGAGGACAGCATCGCAAACCAGGCCAGACCAGCTGTGGTGGCGCGGGGGTAGGCAACCCCCCCCTCCTTGGGGTGGTGTTGGGGGGGAGTGACGCGCTTGGATCACATATCCCTTTCCTTTTTTGGTGACGGGAAAGTTGAAATAGAAGTACTGCAGGACTGGCCTAAATCCACAGATGCTACCGAGCAGCGCTGAGGCCAGCCCCCATCTCTAGGACTTCCAGCCAGTCAAGCCAGACTCTGCCGGGTCAGCGGGTGCGACTTGCCTCCACCAGCTGGGCCGATATCGTCGATGAGGAGGACGAGGACCGCTTGGGGCACTTGGCTAGGGATGCGATGCACCTGCCTTACTATGAAGTTTGTTGGCCGTGACATGGGAGGAGCCCGCACCGGACCCTGCACCAGACCCCATGCTTGAAGCGCCTGTGCCAGAAGCTGAGCCAGCAGCAGCTGCGGCGGCTGCAGCGGCACCAGCTGGGATGGAGTCCGCTCCAGAGTCCGAGACCACCCCACGCGACTGCGCTAGCTTGATCAAGGCCTGGGTGCAACGTGCAGGGGCGGGGCGTGCAGTGAATGCTGGATGCCAACCTGCCAGGAGTACAACGTGGATCCGGACCTGCAAGGATTCCAGAGGTGGTATGCGCTGGAGACAGCCATCGCGGACCAGCATGGCTGGTCGTCCATGCCATCCGTGCCTGGACAAGCTGAGATCGTGGAGGTCCCTACCCGGACGTACCTGGAGCAGCAGGGCGGCAGGCCGGAGCACGCGGGAGCTTGATAGAAACTGTCGAGCTCTCTAATCTCTGGTCTTCTGTGTGCCAGGTTTTTGACACTGCCCTTGACCTACCGGACCAGGGGAGGCCTGGACCTCGTCAACTTGTCTTCTTGTGCGATCGTGATTTGTGACGATGTGCGCAGCTGTGTGCCGTTTCTATTTTTGTGGGCTCTGTAAGAGAGTGATGGTGCCTTCAGACCTCTCACTGAGAGCAACTAAGGTGAAGATGTGGTGGATAAAACTCCGGATGCCTGGGAGGTCCACACATGTGTCTTGCATTGTTGCAGAGCGGCAGATCTTGGATTGCAGAATATCTGGGCCTTGAGGCAGAGGGCATGGAGGACTTTGGATTCCCATGCAACGAGGTTCGCTGGCAACACCCAGTTGTGAGTGGGCCGCTGGATGTTGAGCCAGGAGCCACAAGTAGCAGCCCAGCAGCAAGTGGCACTTGCAGCAGAACTCCCGCCAGCACACCATCCGGTGCCGAAGCGGGCGATGCACATCAGAATGGCTCGAGCCCCAATGTTGGATGATGTGACATTTGAGTCATCGGGCTCTTCTCTGCGGTGCTGCCGGCTTTCATCTCTTTGCAAGGTGCAGGCTACCACGGCAAGGCCCAACAGCTGCCTGCTTTTTGGAAGCCTGGCCAACCTTGAGTGTCTCCCTGCTTGAAGCGAATCTGGTGGCAGGGTGCATGCTGCCTGTTCAGCAGCTGCGGCTGCAAAGCAGCGCGAGGCTCTGGAGGCCTGCGCCCGGTGAGGGCCGGAGATGTAGGTTCTGGTGGCAATGTTTCATTTGGCTTGTCAGGAACGGAAAAACCTCCTGGGCTTGCCTCCCCTGGACGAACCGCCACCGAAACCAGCATGGCCATCGCGGGTAGTTCAACCTCGCAACCTGCAGCCATGGTCAGGGGCCCAAGCCCAGGGCATGCAAGCATCAGCAGAAGTGCTGGTTCAAGCCCAGCCGCAAACTGGCGTGCCAAAGCCGCCGCAGACTCAGTTGCATGTCATGTCTGAGGCTTTGCCGAGAGAGTGCCTTGACATCCTTTTGTGAGGCCCAGTGGCCCTCCGCCTGCCAAGCTGCAAGAGCCGCCGGGGCCTCCAACTGAGCCGCAGAGCGGCCTGTCAGCCAAAGCTCCAGCTTTCCAGCCTGGCTATGCTTGGCAGAAAGCTCCGCCCGCCCAGTGCGCAGTGGCCATACATTCCTATCCTGAGCACGGGGACCAGCGCTGCCACCAAGTGCCGGTGGAGAGGGGCAACGGCAACATCATGTCCATGACGCTTCCCCGCACGCCTTTGCAGGCAGCGCAGCATGAAGGCCCGCCGCTGCCGCCGGCAGACCATTGGCCATCCCAGTCCTCAAATCTCGGGTCCCGTCCAGTCCTTTCCCAGACGGATCCCAGTCATGCAGCGCAGGACTACCACCCAGCACGTGCGCAAATGGGCCCAGGCAAGAGCCGCGTGTCGGCGGACTCCTACCAGCCCATTCCGCAACAAGCGGCCCGGCACGGAGGCCCCGCACCTGCCCAACGCAGGCAGTATGAGGAACTTCCAGCTCCACACCGCCACCAAGCATGGAACTCAAGGTCCCCGGAAGCCCCTAACACCCGGCAACAGGTGGCTGTCATGCGCCGGCAGCAACGTCCCGTGCAGGAAGCAGAGACCGGCCATTGGGAGGATAGCTGGGGACAGGATTGGCAGGAGCAGGACTGGCATGAGCAGGACTGGCACGGGCAGGAGTGGCAGGCAGAGTGGTGGCGGGAGGACTGGAGGGGCCCATGGAGTGACTGGGCAGCAAGTCTGGGCAAGAACCAGGGCAGCAAAGGTGGATGGAGCTCCTGGCAGGCATGAGTAGAGTGCAGCCAGCATGTCACGAAGAATGCGCAGCAAGTTGCCAGACGTTGCCAGGAGAAAGGCCAGGAGAAAGGGAAGCACAAGTCGAAAGATTGGGGCCGTGAGGGCACAAAGGCGCAGCAAAAGTGGGGCCCATAGCCCCCATCAATGTGCCAATCTGTCGGCTTTATTTCTATCATGACGGCTCCCAGTGAGGCCACCTCTCCGCCGACGCAAGTTCAGCGATGAGGCAGTACCAGAAAAGCAGGGCCAGCATGCAGCTCTGGCAGGGTGGTGGCTGAAGCAGGTGACGATATCTTCTACGAGCTCCGATTCCTCAAATTCACCGCCAAGGAGACAGGCGCGTTGCAGTAACAGGTTGTCACCCCGAGAGCCCCTTCTAGCATCCTCTGGGCACCGGCAAGGAGAAGGGCGGAATGGGCAGAGGACCCGCCGCTTAAGTCTTTTGCAGTGTGGCCAGATGCGTGCGAACTTTGCAGGACAGGGAAAATCGGCCAGGGCAGCACTTCGTCAATTGATTGAGCAGCAGAAGCAGCAGGAGGCCCCATCAGCATGCTGATTAGCACTCAATCCGTTGGGCAGATATTGCAGGCAGACAGCACGAACAAGGTGTGGCAGCGCCGTGAGGCACGCGGCCTGGAGGGCGCTGGCTGAGTTAGGCAGATGGACCTATCACGTCAGGGTCGCGGCTCTGTTCGACAGTGAGCGCAAGGAGGCTGAGAAAGCTGTCAATTGTGGACTGCCTTGCTTTGCGCGGAGCTGTAAAATTGCCAGCTTGCTGATCTTGCTGCGTTGCATGATTTTCATGACATTTTGTGTTTTTCCCATGTCGTGGCCAGCCTAGTCATACTCTGGTCGTCTATGACCTTATCAGAGGTTTGGCAGCCATGCAGGACGGTTATATAGAGATGATCTGGGGACATAGGCTTTAGAGGTGTTACAGGGAATAATGGACAAGAAAATGTACACTGCTACAGTATATTGGGCTGTATACCTTCCTTCTTGAATTATGCTTGCTCGAAGAAGGGCTTCGGAACAGCACATCTGAGGGAAAACTGATTGTTCAGTGAAGTCTTAAGTTGACCTGCTATTTCGCCTTGATCTGGAGCCCGCAATCTCAACGTGTCAGAGCCATGGTCTAAACCCTTGGTATCCCCCTAAATGACTGCCAGAGTAGTCCCCGACACAACCCGCTATATAACCCCCTTTTAGAAAGAGTTTAGACGATAGCTCATATGTATACCATACACGCCATTCCAATCAATAGAGTACCATGATATGTGACGGAGTGAGTACTGGTTGTCAGGACGACGGAGTGTCATTTTAGGGCGGCCCATTGGGGGAAATGTCAAACAGATTCAACCCTATGTCTGAAATGTTGTTCGGCTATTCTGTGAGTCTGCCCTACACCTGCATGCCGGCGGCCGGGCCCAGACATCGCAAAAGCGATACATCTCAGCCTTCAGATGGCGCAACACGGCCGTTTTGCAATCTGCCGTAGGATTTCTCAATCAGCACGAGTGTTGGCCTCCCACTTGTAGCATCCATTCTTCGGATCTGCCCCAAATATTTTGTGCACATGGACGGCATGGCTTCGACTGCGCCAGTCATCGTTGAGAAGGTCTGATTAAGGGTCTGATTAAGGGTTGAGGGTTCCAACTTTCGCAGTTGCACTTTTCGTTCGAACTCCCCCATAGACCCCCAGGTTTTCATGGAATTGCTGATTTTCTTTCCCGTTTGATTCTCCATTACCTTCAAAACCTGCTTAGGCTTTTACAGGTGCATGTTTTGGCCGCATGTTGAGCATTTGAAGGCATATGAAGGTTTTGGGTCAAGTGCATGACGTTCAGGGTCCCTGTCCATATATAGGTATTTTAGGGATAATGGAAAAGAAAATAGAAGCTACTCTATATCATTCAGGGGTTATATACAGAATTTAGGGTTTCGGGTGGAGGATTTGAATCGCCACCACTGGAGTTCAGGCAAGAGGACATGCTGAACTGGGGGCACAGGTCCATGCCATGCCTTCACAGACTTGGGCCCTTCATGGTACATCTTCTTGTTTCAATTCAGAATCCAAATACTTGCCGTGGAGCCATCACGTAGTCTGAGCTCAGACCCCAAACCTCATGGGTTCCACCACCACCCGCCACCCTAACCCTAAACCCTAAACCCATATACTACATCCGCCAAGGCTGCCCCTCAAGTGGGAACCTAGGGCGGGTTGCATGGGGGTTAGTGCGGCCGTTTTTTTTTTTTGGTTGCATATGTGTTGAACCAAAACCCTAAGCTCCGAACCTCAGCCCTAAACCCTAAACCCTAAACCTCTGCGGACGGAAAAAGGAGTGAAAAAAAACACCTAAACCCTAAACCCTGAAATTCTGAACCTTAAATTCCTGAACCATACTTCATGCACTTTAAGTCCTGAACCTCAAGTCCATGAAACCCAAAAGCCCTAAACCCAAAGGGTTTAGGGTTTAGGGGTTTAGGGTTTAGGGTTTAGGGGTTTAGGGTTTAGGGTTTAGGGTCCCAAGCCGTGTCAACAGCAAACCATTGGCCCAGCACAATGTGGGCATGCATTCCCTTCACGACAGCGAGATCATCTTTGACAACAATGAGCAAGAGGAGGAGGCCTGCGGTCAGAAGTTGGGTTTAGGGTTGGGGGGTTTTGGGTTTAGGTTTTTGGGTCTAGGGTTTTGGGCTTAGGTTTTT